AAGCTTAAATAGTAATTCAATAGAAATAAAAATCGATACTTAAATCAATATAAAATTAAATCATGTTTCCCATCAAAATTTCAAACTTCTCAAAATGTATATTCGGTCTCATAAATATTTATTTCCATTATCAACCCTTCAACTTGTGCTAAATATACACTCAAGCCATTAATTATGAATTCTTTCTAAAATTCACCTTATCTTTTCCATTAAATTCATAATTATCCTTCTCCATTATGATCATTACACTTTAATTTCTAAAATTTTCAGCACCTTAATAAAACTCCCAAATCAATACTTTAGCATTCAAAAACTTACAATTTCATCCCAAAGCTTCTTAGACTTTTCGAATTTAACCATCCATCTATTTAAACTTGTAATTTGATCCCAACTCAGTAATTTAAACTCAGGAATCAACATGCTATTAAAATTTCCAGAATTGTTCTATTTTACCCAAATGATACTTTCACATTTGAAAACTTGCAATCAAATCCCCAATTTCCTATAACTTTTCGAATTCCACCTCAAAGTTTACCAAATTTGCAAATTGGCTCCACTCAACTTTCTAACTTAAAATTTCCAACATTTCAAATATTAAAATCCACATTGAGAACCCCAAATATCACATTCTTGCAATAATATCCCACAATTCTCAAATCTTGCATATTAGCCTTGTTACTAACTCAAGGTTCCAAATTGATCCAAATTAATCTCAAAATCATATAGAATACTTCTAATATCAATTCTAGACTATAGGAAATTTTTCAATATTTCCCCCCTAATTTTCTTCATATGGAAGAATACTTCAAGTGGTCTAAGGCTTGATTTTCACTCAATTTCAAGCATGAATTCAACTTCCTTACATCAAATTCATGTTATTCTAATCATCAAATCTTCAAATTACATCAAAATCCAAATATTCCCAAAAACTCTACTATGGTCGAACCAATTACATGACCTTACACATCAGTTAATTCATCACACATGCTTTAGAATTAATCTCCAACATCAAAAACATAATAATATTCCATAAATCCTTCAAAATCATAAGCCCTAATTTTTCAATCTCAACATATAAGCTTATTCATCATGTAATATTTATACCAAATGATAGAAAATTTCATGTAGATTAATTCTATATATAATAGCTTAATCCAAAAATCAAGTATATAACTTCAAAAATCAAATTAACGAACTTATCTTGGTATACATGAAACTTTCGGCCAGCTTGAAGAAAATAGGCTGAAAATTTTTCTTCTCTTTATTATTCTAGGATAAATTTCTAATACACTTGGCATAAATACAAATGAAATGAATTTAAAATTTATTTAATGAGAAATTCCACTTATACCATTAATGAATCTTGAAAATTACTAAATGTCATTGTCATATCCTCCATTAAAATATTCCTTAGTTAAAGATGAACCAATTTGACCTTGACTCTCTACTTTGTCCATGCAATTTTTGAAAATTATATTTTAGTCACTACATTTTTCACTGTTGGCCAAATCTGAAAAATTACATTGATCTGAGCTAAATTTCTCTGATCTAAAATATGTAAATAATATTTCCAACCAATATCTAACATCCTTCAAATTTTTGTGAAATTCCAACTCAATCCGATTATCCGATTTCTATACCAAACTTTATAGCTTTATTGCTTTTAACACAAATTCCATACCAAAAATTTGATTCTCACGAAAATTCTTGTTTTAGGTCAAAATGTTAATTTACCAGCAAAAATATATAACTTTTTAAAATTATATTTTTGGGGTCTCTAAATTTTTACAAAGTTTATACTTTAACCAACAAACTTTCAAAACTTACATTTTAGTCACTAGTAAAAATTTGGGGTATTACAGGAGGATTATATATATATAGTCATAGGAGGACTTGCTCATAAGATCAGGGGATTACAATCTGCGGGACTTGTTGAGGCTAAAGTCTTTTTAGAAGGCATAAGCTCGGCCGATGAGAATGACTGGGAATTTTTACAATCTTAAACGAATTAAACAACAGTAAATTTTACAATAATTTATGAAATTTTGTTGTTGAAATCATTAGTGGATTAACACTAGAGCTTGTTGTTGAATCGTATAATTTATGAAATTTTTAATCTAGATTTGAGCTAAGAAAACTCGGAATTTTTAATCTAGATTTGATCTAGAACAAACACGTAAGAGAAGAAAAAAAACAACTAAAGTTTTTCAATAATAATTTTAAGAGTAAACTACATGAACGGTCCTTTTTATTTCCAGTCTATTCTGTTTTGGTCATTGGTTTCTTTGAAAAAGGACGATGGACACGATGAGTTATTTTTAAGGTTGAAGTTTGGAGTGGAACTAAAAGCTCATGCTATAAAGTTATCTTCCGCCTAATTCCTCATCAAGTCCTTACAGGTTACATGATACACCTATGTTACATACAGTTGAAGCTTTACATGATACACCTATGTTATATACATTTGAAGCTTTACATGATACACATATGTTATATACATTTGAAGCTTCCTTAGATACTTACAGAGTAGTTGATCGACTAGAGGAGTTTGATTTTCCTGTATTCCTTTTCTTCTTGTCTTTCATTTACTACTTTTGTTCCCCAAACATACAAGGGTGGAAATTTGATGGTTGAGTTGGGTTCTGGTCGGATGTAGTTCAAGTTATGTCATTTTGAGATTGTTTATGGTATGACCATCTTGATTTATGGTCACTCTGGGTTTCACTTTGCCCAGTTTTGGGTCATTACTTTTTAAAATAGTTACGTACATATATGTTAAGCATCTAACCTAGGTGGTATAAGACCACAAGAAACCTAATACTCAACAGATGTGGGATCACACTACTTTAACGCTTCCCCTTATGTGTAGTCATAGGGCTACACGTAAACAACCTCAGTTGGGTTCATAGAAATATCGAGAGTTAATAGACATGGGATAACACTATTTAACACCCCCGTCACATGTTGCTTGACAAGGGCCTACATATGGACGACCTCACATAGGTAATAGGTAGCAAGAACGAAACCCACTTTGGCTCTGTTATAATGTTAAAGATTCAACCTGAAAGTAATTGGCAATAAGATACTCAAACATGAATATAAGATCACAAGTAACCCAACACTAAACAAATGTGGAATAACCCAGTTGACCTATATGATTTCGTAAGTTGAAGAATAAAAGTTATGCTCAATTAAAGTTCTGGATTTTCTAGGTACGTTTACCTTTAACTTATGTCGTTCAAGTTTCGGCAGTGACTATTAGAATCAAGTGGGTTGGATTAGGGCCTTTCGGGCATCTTCCGTCAGCTTGGGTCGGATTTTTCATGTTGAACATGCATAATCCCCTTTCTTGAATTCCCTTTTGTGTTTCTTTTATATTCATTTGTAATATTATTTACTGGGAACAGGGTTGAAAATCGTTCCATCTTTTTACCTATTCGCTACCAGCAAGTGAATGGTACCAGTGATTCATGCACTTTCTTCTTCCCAACATTGCTGTTTCTTTCTTGTGGGAAGATCTTGGTCGACGGCATTTGATGGAAATCCTTGCAGATGGGACTGACCCATCAAGGTAAAAAAATTACAACATCAATAAGATTTCTGACCATCCGCCTGTTGATGTTACAGGCCCTGATAGAGCTTTACGGGTTACCATCCTAAAAGAAGAAAAAGTAAATGTTGTTAAGATCAGTGACTGGTTGCCTCAAAGAGAGCCTTCAGCAATAATTAGCGGAAGGATTCCTTCCTCGTTATCTAGAAAGGAATCTCATGAACTGCATTCTACATCGGAATGTGAGTTCCATTTCATTTTCGAGCTTGTTGAGCTTGGCTTGTCCATTGTTGACCATACACTTGAGGAGTTATTATACCTGTCGGTGCAAACTCTTGATTTGACACATTCAGCTGGCTTGGGCTCTGGTTGTGGCAGGTATGTCTGCTTTAATAGATTCTGGAATTCTACAATACAACAGGATTCATGTTACCACTATAAAAATTTGTTTGCCCCACAGAATTGCTTCCAGAAAATAAGTAATAAATAAATAACTGTATTTTTTTGTTTGAACCATTCATTGCACGCCACATGTACAATTTTATACTTGGTTTTATTCATTCAACTATTGTGTATCATTTACTTATCTATGCCCTGCTATTGCTGGGAATTATATTTCTAGTGATAAATTGTATATCAACTCATTTTGGATTTTCCTCGTTACGTTCAATTGATATAAGATTGCTTATTGCAAGTACACTTGTGTATAAATTACACAGACGAAAAAGGTTCTAAAATTTCTCATGTAAATTAAGTAATAGGGGGCACCGTACCTTCTTTCTCCTTTAACACCTCAAAGAAGGCTCTAAATTTTTTAGTCTAAACCTTGGATTTTTGACATTCTCTTCTGCAAACTACCAAGTAAACTGTCTAGCGTCTACTTATCATGTAGGCAGAATAGCCATCCAAAATTGTAATTTCTTCTACTGAAAGATTTTCCTGTTGTTTACCTATTTGTGAATGTTGTATGGATTATGTCGTTATTTCAGGTTCAAATTAAGAATGAGAGGTATTCAAATGGATAACCAATTGCCATTAACTCCAACACCAGTTCTCTTCAGTCCACAGAAATTGGGCAGGAGACGTAATATTATGAAAATTTCAGCGACTATGCAGACAAATAGATCAATAGATCTATGTGTCTATCCATATATTGGTTTCAATGTGAGAATGGTAAATCTCAATATCCTGAGCAGAGTTTATTATTTTCCCCAAATCTCAGTCACTCGGTGTCGTTAATTTTTATTGTCTTATGACCAGGGGCCTGATAATTCTTCATTTTTGATAAACATTCATGAACCTATTATATGGCGCATACATGAGATGACGCAGCAGGTCAATCTCAGTAGATTATATGATACTAAAGCTACAGCTGTGTCAGTTGATCCAATCATTCAAATTGGGTATGCGAGAACCTTCTTCAATTAAGATATTAAAAAAATGTGTTTTGCTCGGTACTTGATTGTTTGGGGCTTATCACCTGTATTTTACTGGAAATGCCAGCGTTCTCAACATCTCAGAAGTTCGACTAAAAGCGTCAATGACTATGTCACCTAGTCAGCGTCCTACGGGAGTACTTGGTTTATGGGCATCCCTAATGACTGCACTAGGGAACACTGAGAATATGACTCTATGTTTTACATCTAATCCCTTTTTCCTTTTTCCCTCATTTGTAGATCTTTCAATAGTTCGACCTTCAGTTCTCTGGCTGGATCTGGAAAACCACTTATGTTAGTACATGGAAGCTAGAAAATAGCATGTTGTATAAATATCTGTTACGTGTCATACCCTCAAAATGCATATCTCAAAGTTGCAGTCAATAGGTTGATGGAACTTATTTTGGATCAAATATGTTGTATATGGAACTTATGTTGTATAAATATCTTGTTTGAATGAAACAGAAGCGGGTGAGGGATAAAGTGAATAAACCATATTTCACCGGTTAGCGATAGCAATGCCGTTGCAATGAATCCGAAGGAAGTGAGTTCTGCCTGGTCACCAGCTTTTGGCAGCAGCAACTAACCTGGGAATGACAAGTTAAAGCATCCATTATGAATGGCTGAGTGCTACAAATTTTGCTTTGCTTCTTTGGGTAGAGCTTGTAAATGGCATTATGGGATGATCATACTGCTTGAATGGAAATTAAATACAAGTTTTTTCATAGAAAGCTTATGTTAGTAAATCTCCTATATTATATAATCAAAGTCCATGGGGTACGCCTCTTGAAATGTATGCATAAACATTTTTGTTCTATGCTTTGATAAATGTAGTTAATGATGAAGCAAAATGTCCAAAATGGGTATCGATGCATTCTTTATTTTTTTGAAAGAGTAAAGTATACAAATGGTATCAGCAACCAACATTCTAAGATAATTGTCCAAAAGAAATGTTGGCTTTGGGATCCACTCCTATTATTGTTTCAGAAATTTTGCATTACCAAATGAAAACAATCATTATTGTTTCAGAAAATATGCATTACCAAAAGCCCTATATTTAAGTTGCCACAGGTAGGCCAAATATCTTAGATATTCAACAAGGGACAAGTTGAAACAACTAAGAAAATAAGTTTGGTAGTGGTCAGGAACCAGCAAAAGTAAAAAGACTCCTTATTTTTGCATCTACATTAACTGATCAAAAAGCCCTTTTTATAAACTACGAAGGAACATGGATGGAGGCCTGTTATCTTGAAACTCATTAATATTTTTCTGTGTTACCAACTTGCCATCAAAACCAGTTAGTACTATTTCACAACTTGGCAGGAATAACTCACAGCAACAAGATGGTGGCCTAGAACACTATGTTCTCAATCTTCTTCTGCTGAACCAGTTCTTACTGGTAGACCAAGACAACAGTCATGCTCTCCTTCAAGAGGACGTTCCCCTAATGGTGCTACGCTGCATGTAAGTGAGAGCTATGTTCCTGCAGTAAGTTGTGGCTACTCAAAAATTACTGAGAACATGAGCCCTGTTGTAATTGGAACTAAAATGGTTGAGAGGGTGATAAACATGCAGAAACCGACACCATCCAAGCAAGAAGATAAACATTTTCCTCATGTTATCTTGTCTGGGAATTCTTCATCAGTCGTCACTAGACAGTTCAGGCTTCAATAAATGGCATGTTTCTGCATTGGATTTTTCTTCCAATATATAATCAATCAACCTCTTCCAAATTATATATCAGATTAACTTCCCCAAATACATTTCAATTCTAGACTTATAGTACGAGACTAAAAACACCATATAATAGTAAGAAAACAAATGGTACTTCAAGACACTAAACAAACATCAATTCATACTAGTTAACCATGTAAACGACTATCAATGCAATTATACAAATTAGAATATTTGTAATCAGATTCAGGAACAATAAACTAGAGAACCTAATTGCATATATCAGAATCACATACCTGATACTAGCCAGCTAGTCTGACCAATTCCCAATGTAGTTATCCAACAAATCCAACACCTTATGGAGACCGCCATCGGATCGAACACGAGGTAAAAGCCGATCCAATGCCATCGCTTCCCTAACCCTAGCCTCTCTCAATAAACTCCCAACCACCCTTTTTCTAAGACCCTCCCCAGGTAAAAGATGAACCCTCAACATATCCCTCAAAACCATCAATCCCTCCAGAACCAACCCACCACCACACAACCCACCAACCAAAACCCCATAGGCAGACTTGTCCACCATGGAATCATAAGGAGACCCGGGCCTGAGCATCCATTTATACACTTTTAAAGCATCTTTAGGCCTACCCTTTTTGAGAAAAGAAGCAATGAGCATGGTGGAGATGGGGGTCACGTACGGGTGACCTCGAGGGATACGGTTGAGGAGTGACATGGGCAGTTTCAAGTCGGGCTGGAGGGTGAGGGAGTGAACGAGGATTGGGAGTGAGAGGGAGTCGGGGTTGTGGGGAGGATTGGGGAGAGTGAGTGCGGCGGTGATGAGGTGGATAGCGGTGGCGAGGTGGTCGGAGAGGCAGAGGCGGGGGAGGAGGAGGTTGATGGTGTGGGTGAGTGAGGGAACAGTTTGGGGTTTGGGGTCTAGATAAGCGTGGGTTAGGTTTGGAATGGTTGAGAAGGAAGGTGTAGCTTGGGGTTTCTGGGAGTTCATCTTCCACTTGAGAGTCTTGTTCGCATTTCGTATTGCCATCTTCCTCAGCATCTGCGATTTTACAACAATTCTACTCATTTTCAGGATCCAACTTAAGGGTAAATCTATTCAATAAAAAAAAAGGGTAAGGGTGAAACAATTTCATCATATATATATATATATATATATATATATATATATATATATATATATATATATATATATATATATATATTGTTAATTATAAAATAAGTGTCTAAACTACACCTATTTTTAAATAGGTACCCAAACATTTTTGAATCATAAAGATATTTAACGTTACAAACGTTATTATTTTAGGTATCAAATTGTAACTATCGTTAATTTTCTTCGTTAAGTGACACATGTCATATTCTGGTGATTTTAAAAATTTTATTTAAAAAAATAAAAAAATATATTATTATATTTATAAAAAAAATCCTAATTTTTCTTAAATTAAAAAAAATTAAATCCCTAAAAATCCTAAATCCCTAACCTTAACCGACCAACATTGCCCTTATCGCCCACGGTCACCGCTCCCGACGTAATCTTTACCATCTTCATAGTCATACGCCGCTATAGTTTTTGTCGTTTGATTGTCATAATCGCATGGTGTCGCTATTTTCAACGTGGGGTTCACAATGTACAAACGTTGATTTGTCGTAATTTCATAGGTTTATTGATTATTGGAGAAGGTAAAGTCAGGTTAAGCTTCGTAGATAGCAAAAGGTAATGGCAGGCATGAGTTTAGGTGTTGAATGAGGGTTTTTAAAGTTTTGAGATTTTTTTTGATTTTTTTGATTTTATTTTTAAAGGGTAAAGTATACAATTGTTACTTTCGTTTGAGTTTTATGAACTTATGATTACTAGATTAAAAAGATATAATATATGGTCACTTTCGTTTCCTTTTAATTAAGACGTGGTCATTGGGGCATTAGCTGTTGTGAGTTGGATGACATGTCATATTAGTAAAAATATTTAGTTTTTATTTAAATCCTTAAACTTTAAATAAATTATTAATCATGGATCTTTTTGTAAACTCAAAACAATTTATGAATAAAAAATCAATTTACCCATATTTTTTTTATAAATTTTCTTCCCCAGATCTATCTTTTCTGCCGCTTCCCCAGCTTCATATCTAAACCACTGTTTCATCTCTAAGGCTAGCTCTTACATAATATGAGAAAACTCTCATGATCTCATTTCTTTATTAGCTTAGTTAAAAAAATTATTTAAATTATATTTTTGTCCACTTTATATGTTCGAATTTTTTAATTAATGTAAGTGTTAAAATTTTTTGTTTAAAATCAATCAATCAATTAATATTTAATATGTGATCTAATTTTTAATTGCTTTTAATTTTTAAAAATAAAGTTCATAAATTTTAAAAAATAATTCTAATTTCTTTTTATTTTACTCAAAACACCTCAAAATTTATAAAACTCTAAATCCTAAATTTCCAAAACCTAACTTCTTAAATTAAATTTAAGAAGTTAAGGATTTGGAAGACAATTAGAAGACAATTAGTAAAGGCGTCTAAAACTAAATGAGTGGTAGAAAAAGAATTAAGAATTTTAATTTTTTTTTTGTAAAATATTAATAATATTAATTATTTTAAAATAAAATTTATGAAAGATTTAATAAGAGTAGGAGGTCTCATTAAAACCGTCTTTATACATATCAGCACCCAACAAGATAGGCAATTTATAGTGAAAGGAAGAAAAGAGTAACTCAATTTTATTCAAGACTCCGAAGACACCATTACAAAAATCCACCGCACTTAATATATCAAGGCACGTCCGAAATGTGGCATAAATAAATCAAACGAATAACAAAGACTCTATTCATCAACCGAGAAACTAGAATCACTAGTCGATTCCTTGTTTAGTTAAACGAATCAGGGCATGTTAGCGGATTGACAATCCAAATCAAAGCTATCTTGCAGTCGTTTCCATAATCATCCTATGCCTATTACTATACTGATACTTCAAAAACATCATCAAGCCATGCTTAATTGCTAAAATCTCTTCCATCACAGGAGGACCTTGACCAATAGCTAAAGAGAAAAATCCAAAATATTCGAAGGACTCCTCCAATACCCTTCATAGCTCCATCAACGTTAACTTTTAGGATATCATGGGGAGGCGGAGACCATACCACAGGACAAGACTTCAATGTTCTTTTTAGAGGAGCCGAATCAGCAAGCTGTGGATCACAAATCAGATCATCTAACGAACAAGAGGCAGTGGGGACTTTGGCTTTAAACCAGACAGCAAGTCTGAACCATGCGATTTTTTAACACAATTTCGTTCCTAAATTTTCAAACCGACTAAAAGACAACAAATGGTATAAAACACCAAATTGAATCTAAAGAGCAATCGGGTGCAGCTTCAAACCAATCATATAAGAAAATGGAAATGCCCCCCGAGAATGCTGCTGAAAAATTCCAACAGCGGCAGAAAATATTCCAAAGATCCCAAACTACCTCGCAGCCAATGAATAAATGGATCACCGTTTCTGGTTCCGGCCTGCACAGGGGGAAAGAAAATCCGATATGACCGCAACTCCCCGTTTCATCATCTCTGTTTTAACTGCAACCCCTGAGTGAACTAAGTGCCAAACGAAAACTTCTACCCTTGAGGTGCAATTCCCAACCATACCACTTGCTCCAATGTGGGGAATCGAATCTTGATTTTGCCGATATAGAACTAAAAGATTTGACTGAAAATACCATGTCACCACTTCCTTTCCACGAGAGCCGGTCTGAATTCATGTCGCCCGACCTGAAACAATTTAGCAGAAAATTTGAGTTCTCCCACTGCCCTATTTCCCAATCAAATAAACCTTCTACGAAGGGAATCTCCCATTCCCACCCAGACCCTTTCTTTGCCCCAAAATTCGACACTTTACCCTCTTTATCACTGGATAAAGTGTAAACACGTGGAAAATTTTCCTTCAGTGGGATTTCACATAGCCAATAAATAGCCCAATCAAAACCTAATCGATTCTCCTTTACCAATTTGGATTTGAAAATTATTTCTCAAACATCCCCCCGATCACATCCTCTTTAAAAAATGAGCTCAACACATCTCGCCAAATCCAGAAAAACACGAGCAGGTTGTTGATTTTTCAAGATCAGAACTCGTCTCCAAGTAATATTTAGAGCAGATGACCCCCTCCCACTACTGCCTCCATCATTAGGAAATTTCCAGACTCATTTACCTAGAAGGGCTCGGTTCAAAAACTCTAGATTCATTATACCCAATCCTCCATGCTCATTTGGTTTGCAAATCGACTCTCAGTTGATCTAGTAAATCCTGTTTCTCGTCTTAGAACCATTCCAAAGAGAATTTTTCATCAAAGAGTTTAACTTCGAAAGAATTTGTTTCGGCATAGCGATAAGAAATATATCGGTAACGAATTAAAAATCGATTTAATAAGAACTATCCTTCCAGCTAGTGAGAGACAGTTTGCCTTCCAACTTGCCAAACGAGAGTAGAATTTCTGGATCACCGGTTCCCACAAGAATACCGAGTTTTTTCTTAGGTCCTAGAGGGAGACCAAGATAAATTGTAGGGAACGAATCAGCTTCGCACCCGATGGACAATGTCCATGACTCTAGATCCGATTGCTCTACATTAATTCCATTACATCCTCATTTAATAGTGGCCAAAACTTCTTGAAAAATCCCATATTATTATAACCATTTTGCCTTATTGTTGCGGTGGATGAAATGGCTTCCCAGACCTCATCCTCCGTAAATTGATGTTCTAGAAAGTCTTGCTGAACCGCTGATATCTTTGAAAAATTCAGATTCATTCTCTCCGCTTCGATAGTGTTGCTGGTGCCGAAAGCTTTGGTGAAGAAATCTTCCACACACTTCTTGATTAACTCAGGATCAATGATAGACTCTCCATTGAATTTCAGAGCCTGTATCAAATTTATCCTTCTTTTATTTGACGCACAAAGGTGGAAAAACCTCGAGTTTCGATTACTTCTTTGAACCATTTATAAATTTTATAAAATAAATTATAAATCAAACATGTATCATATTTTGAGTGATTAATATTTTTTAATTTTAGTATAATAAAAGTATACTTTGATCCTTAAATAAAATCCAGTATAATCAAAATAACACTTCAATCCTAAAAATAGACTTAATTATAAAATAAGGGACCAAAATATATCAATTTTCTCAAATAGGTGCTTAAATTTTTTTTTAAATCATCCAAGTGCCTAACATTACTACTTTAGGTGTATGGATCGTAACTGTAGTTAATTCTGGTGTTAAAGGATAGATGTCACATTATGGTAATTTAAAAAAAATATTTAAAACTAAAAAAATTAAAATTATATATTTTTTAAAAATGGGTAAACTACACAAATAGTCACTTTCATTTGAGCTTTATAAACTTATGGTAATTGGATTCAAAAAACATAATATATGATTACTTTCGTTTCATTTTAATTAAGAAGCGATCAATGAGACGTTAGCTGCAGCTGCTGTGAGTTGGATGTAAATGACACGTTAGTAAAAGTGTTTAATTTTTATTTAAGCCCTTAAACTTTAAATAAATTATTAATCACGAGTATTTTTATAAATTCAAAATAGTTAAAGGAAACCTTTTTACTGATCAAGGTCCATCGTACGTAGATAAAGCATAAATATTATTAGAGAACATCACTTATTTATTTCCAATATTATAAGAGTCCATATTTTAAAACACCAACACTACTGAACCTTCAAAAACTTAAAACAAAACATTAAACGCTATATATGAAAAATAATATATATCATTTAAAGACTGGTTTAAGTGTGCAAATATTAGATTAATAGTTCCCAAAACACGTGGCATCAGATAATACGAACTGCTTAAGCTGCTGATGTAGCACTCCATTGGTGTGTAACAACATCACCATCTTCAGTAAACGGAGAGAATAAAGTTCAAATCTTTAGGTTCAGTAATGGAAGCATTCTTGTAATCAAGAGATTCATCTTCATAAACATCCCACCATTTCTTCACCAACATCTTTTTGTCTTCTCTCTCCATGTTCTTTTCCTTCCCTGTGTACCTCCATGGCTTTGATCCCTACAACCATAATG